TTTTTTTTTTTTTCTTTTACTAGAGGAAAAAATGACACAAATATAACGGGTACTAAGCTCCTGACAGGGAATGGACTCTGTAGTTATTTCGTCCCAGGCACATGGTCATCATTTCCCTTTCTCCAAGCACTGGACCTACTGCCTATTTGGGATATGGGGCAATATTCAGTAAGAAATCTCCACTAACAAATGGCTCTGTTCCAGGAAGAAATGAATTTATACCACCTGCCACTGACAATATTAAAATGGGTAATTCAAGCCACCCTTTTAGGTGGCTTTTAGTTAAAAATTTTAGCTTTTTAAAAAACTAAATTTAACTAAATCACTCAAAACCAGTTTAGGAATTTGTTCAAAGTTAAATTACAACTACAAAAAAAATCCCCTACAAATTAGCAAAATGCAACCATGTTGTATGTCTTTTTGGATTCTTTGTATTAAACTTCAAGCTTTAAAAAAAAAAAAAAAGAAAAGAAAAAAGAAAAGAAAAAACCCCACCATGCACACACAACAAAATAAACTTTTCCTCATTTCTGTGCAAATATTCTGATTCTGTCCCTTATTAGTAAACTAATTTTACAACCCCTGAACAATTCTGCTGCTCTGAAAATATGATTAACTTGTATTACAGACACTATCACTGATAAGTTAGCCTCATAAGACAACTGAATTTTATCATTATTAATTTACATCTAGATAACTAATTCAGTAGCAGTCAGTATCGATCTTTTAGACTAGGCCACACATAGTTCATTATATAGTTAAAAATGTTATCACCTTCTCATCTGAAGGCTATATAAAGCTTCTGCTATTTTGGTTCACTCATATGTTACCAAGGTCTTACTTTTAGATATCGATGTATAGGAGAATGTCATAAGTTATTTGACCACAATGCAGCAAAGTACATGGTTCACTAACCAGCACAGAGAATAAAAGGAAGATATAGGTGTAAATAGGGAAAAAAAAAAAAATCTGTACTACTTGGAGTGAAGCTCAATTAATTCCTTATTTTACCCATTTCAAGAACCCTCACAGATTAGATCAGTTAGATTTATGTTCCCATTTCCCTTGTCTTTGATGTTGCATCTGGTATAAAGTGCCTTTTCCTGGTGCTAAAATATGAAGATGCAGATGTATCAGTGGTAACCAACATTTTCTCTCAATTAAGTTTATATGCTTCTCTTAGATCCCATTAACATGCATCTTTATTTTTAATGCATTTTTTCAATTTTATTGCTTTATTTAAGAAGCAAAATAAAAAAGAGTAAAAAAAAAAATTAAAAATATTACTTAGGCAGCATAAAACAAATTTGTTTGTTTTTTAAGCACCATCTGCTTTCCTGCTCATTAAATCAGTTTGCAGATCAACACAGGAAATTATTTTGACTTACTGGCTTACTGAATTTCAATCTAATATTTTACATAGAGCATTACACTGCAAGATACTGGCAATTCAACATACTACGCTTCACAACTGGATAACATCTGCTGCTACTTCTACAGAGCCATCTTGTGGTACAAAGAGGGTATCGTATTTTATTTGAAAACTTAACTCATTGGTCACAAACAGCAAAATCAATGTTAAAAAAAGTTTTAAATTACCTCATGGATAGTGAGTAAATAATTCAGAATAGCCTGCAATTCATCTTCCTTTATTCCATAGTCCTTTAAAAACAATCAAGATTTAACTATTATCTTTCAATGTACAAAAGAGCAGTTCCCATAAGAACATTATTACACACCATGGGTACATAAGGTGCAAGAGTCTCACAAGACACATTCGTTTTCACAAATAATACTGTAATACTATAATCCTGTATAGCTGCATAGATAGAAGGTAGCTATTTCTCTGCCCCAAAACAACCCAACTGAAGGTTAGAGAAGTGCATTAAGATGACTCCAAGAGAGGCATAAAAGTAAACTGGAGAGTAACACAATACATGAAATAATAGATACGGAAAAAAATGAAATTGGATTTTTGCAAATAAGCTATTGAAGTTATGGTAGCCAAGAGCGTGCAAAAGTAGACCTGGATGTTTTATTTACAAGCATGACTGAGATGTCTACTATTGGTATTGCTTCTTATTTAGCACTTTAGAATCTTCAGTTTCTTTTAAAAAATAGAATAATTTATGGATTCTAAGTTTATGAGAAAAAAAAAACTCAAACAGTCAAACACAGAAGACATAGCCCAAAGAAAGGGCATACAAATAAGAAGAGATCTGCAGTTGCAGTAGCAAAGTGTCTGAAAAAAAAAATCTATAATTCGTAAAATAATAAGTTTTGACATCTAATATCCAAATGTACAAACGTTAAAACTCCCCTGTAGTAGATGATTCTATATCAACTGACTTCCACTTCTGATAAAAATGAGCTTAAAAGAAAGAAAATACTTCTTTAGCACTACTATGTATGACACCAGCCAATCATGTACCTTAAGTGATATTTTCATTTACTTAATTGTTTACAAGACTCAACATGCTTAGGAAAAAAAAAAAAAACAGTTAAGTTATGGTGAAGTCGCTCTCCATTATGAAAGGAAACTTGGATACCTTACCATAATCTACAATCAGCCTACCTTCATCACTAGTTGTTTAATGAACATCAATAAGAAAGCCCTCAGAGATAAAATCTCCTTTTGATTAGGTCGTGGCCCATCTACAAATGAAAAACAGTAGATATATAATGTGTAAATAAAAGGTGGTTATTACTGTAAAGAGCATTTGCATACACAGAAAAATAAAAAGCATTTGCTATGGGAAGAGGGCACAATTTTAAGTACAGTTATTTTTCCTCTACTGTGGACTACGAAACAGTAATACGTTTAGTGTTGTTTACTAGCAAAATGCTCTGACAAGTGAGGTTCTAAAAAAGTTTCTATTAAACACGGTATTCTATAAACCTCTAAATTTAGACTGTTTCACAATTCTCCATTTCCATAAAGACCGCCCATTCTTTTTTTTTTTTTTTTTTAAACCAACTTCATGCAAGGAATGATTCTTATATGAGAATTTTACACTAGAATTTATAGATCTGAAATTTTTGCAGTTTTCAATCTTTTTAGCCCTGTGCCGAAGCTCAGAAGGTAACACTATGTGCTACTAGTACACATAGGCTACACAGACAACAACTGAAGCCTGCAGTACTAAAACTCCAAGTCAAGAACTTGCTTCTGCTATTTCTATGTAAAGACGACTACTACTAAATTTTATAAATAATATTGAATAGCTCCCAGGAGAGAAAAGGTTAAAACAAAGAGGTGCAACCACATGGCAAAGGCAAAGAAAAATCTTTATATGGAAAGCAAATGGCTGCTGCAAACACCTTCTTAGAGGCAGATTTTGCTCACAGATTCACAGTTTCTATGATCATAATCACTAGGTAAAAGAAAATCGATTAGCTTATGCAAGTCATCATGCAAGGCTATGTTTTTGTAAAGGATATGCCTACTCACATATTCAGGCTAAGAATAAGTATTTCAACACAGACAGTCTAGTCAATATATGCCATTCAAACTAAAATAGTAAGATTATCTTATAAGCACACTTGCCCCAGTTTCAATAAACCAGTTCAGAAGCTGACTAAATCCATGTCTTCACTGAAAAAAAAGAAGCGATTTGGTACCTTACAAGACACAAACTACTACAAAGCAATCTTAGCAATGCTCCAACAGGGTTTTAGTAATGCTCCAACAGGGTGGCCATTCTGTGGACTCCTCACTTTCCATCACAAAAGAAAGAAGAGAAAGTTTCTTTCTGTCAGAAGATTGAGAGATATTGTGTGCATCATCCCCATAAAACTCAAAACAACAACTCGAAGAATCATAAAGCCGTATTTTCAAGGAGCACTAACTTCCTAGTCTGTTCCAGGTCCACCTACACATACATGCTTATGCTATGTATGAAGTGGTGCACTTTAGGCAGCTATTCCCTTGGCTTTTTTCTTACAATGTTTTCTTGTTCCCTGACAAGGACAAATGCTAAACACCTGTTCTAAATTTCTTGCTACTCCTTTCACCATGACCTCCCTGTAGTGATTAAGCATGCTTATTTTTCCTACAACTTTAGACTTCTATGCTTGGGAGATAGACTTAATACGCCTGCTTTAAGCTACACTAGTCTTATCAACAGATCTAACAAGCATTTAAAGGTGCCCAGAAATTGAACAAGCACCAAAAGGAGACCCAGTGCATTCCTAAGTACAAATCCACAGTTACAAAATCCTATCGGCTCTCGCAGTTCTACTATCTGTCTAATACAGGATCTAATTTTATTAAAATAAAATATTGTAAGAGAATATAATCATATGTTGGCTTGCAAAAGTAAAAACGTACACATACCTAAACCTTTAGGAGTGATACCGCTGCGATCCTGAGGATTCACTACCCAGTAATAGTATTTTAGGGTATGCATGACCAGAAGAACAGTCCCAACTCGACGGATTGCATTGTATATGTTAACAGTGCCAATGAACTCTGTAGACAGGTAGGTATACAGGATCAGCTGAACCTACAAGACCAAATAAAAAGCTTAAATATCATTACATCAAAATTGTAGCATATCAGGCAACTGTCTTACTAAATTTCATCCATTAAAATTTCTTAAAGAAACAGAAGATTTTCTCTGCATCATCTATGAAGCTTCTAAAACCCTTGGAAACTGATGAACTAAATCATTTTATTTCTAACATTAGAGATTTTTTTTTTAAGGGTGGTCCATTATTCACAGCACAATGTGGTATTCATAGAATCTCAGAATTGCTGAAGTTGGAAGGGACCTCTGAAAATCACCTAAGTCTAACCCCTTGCTCAAGCAGGGACACCTAGAGCAGGTTGCCCAGAATCAGATCCATCCGGGTTCCCAATGTCTCCAAAGATGGGGACTCCACAATCTCTCTGGGCAACAGGTTCCCATATTCAGCACTCCGACAGTGAAGAAGCCTTTTCTGATGTTCAGACAGAACGAATTTCTGGTGTTTGAATTTGTGCCGCTGCTTCTTGTCCTGGTTACTCAGAAGAACTTGGCTCCATCTTGTTCACACCCTCCCCTCATATTTGTTACACGTTGGTAAGAACCCCCTGAGCCTCCTCTTGCCCAGGCTGAAGTGACCCCACTCTCTCAGGCTCTCCTCACATAACAGGATCTCCAGTCCCTTCATTACTGTGGTGGCCCTTGGCTGGACCTGCTCCAGGAGGCCCGCATGATCTTGCGCTGGAAGCAGAGCACTTCAGCCCGTGTCCAAGCTGTGGCCTCCCCGGTGCTGAGCCAAAGGAATCAGCTCCCTCACCTCACTGGCAGCTCTGCCTAGCACAGCCCAGGAGGCTGCTGGCTGCCCTTGCTCCAGGGCATGTTGCTGGCTCACATATTCAGAGCAAATATGTAAAGCTTCTACCCTCCTTCATACAGTTTTGGCAGATGTAGTTAAAAACTATTTCAAATGCTTGAGGTTAAGAATAGCAGTAGTTAAACTGCCAGAGTTTTAAAGATATTAACAAAATGCAAAATGAAAAAGGACAAAAGAAATGTCTTTTACAGTTACTTATGGCCTCCTTTTGTAAACTATCTGTATTATTTACATCATGCTGTTGGCTCTTACTTCATAACCTGAAAGGCATTATGACTGTTTTAAGGAATGATCCTTTTTGTGCCTTTATTTGATTTTAATTTTTAAGTTTGACAAAGGGCTCATGTAAAACATTCAAATATCTAATTAAATCCCCCGATCCCTCTGTTTAAGCCCTCCCCAAAACAAATCATTGCAAATGCTGTATTATATCAACATACATCCTTCAAACAACTTGTCTTAAAAAAAGAGAGAAAGAGACCAAACACAGTAACAAATTCCAAGCCATGACTGCTCCTAGAATTTCTTCCTGGAGAAGGAACAGCCCACAGGCATTTTCCTTAGTCACTGCCATGTAGAACGTGTTGAAAGAACCACAGATGTTCTAACAGCAAAAAGAAAGATCAGAAATCAAAAACAAAAAGTTTAACATGACCTTAAAAGGATGAGGCAATAACAGACTGACATTCTGTGGAAAACCATTTTCTTCTTGCCCTATGTTGCACAGAAGAAGCTGATACACTGGTAAATACTGAGAACAACTAAGCTTTGATAATCACAAAGTTAAACAAAAAAAGCTCAAAGGTATTTCTCTGTTGGTTTTTATTTCCTTCTTTCTTATGTGTGCTACTTGTACAAGAAAGATATCAACACTTCTGTCAGAAATATGGACATCAAAAGGGTTACTGCAGGAAGTATCCCTTTATTATGCAGTGCTGCATATTTATTATAGGCCTTGCTACTCATAGACTTAAAGTACTTATACACTTCCCTTCCCTTTTCTGCTGAGAAATAATCATTTAAATAATCATCTAATTTAGCTGTAGAACTTTTTTTTTTTTTTTTTTTTTGGCATAACTATTTTGGTATAAAATATTTCTATGTTTAAATAAAAGACTAAGGATATTGTTTAATGGAGTAGTAAACTGAAAGTAGTCCTGAAAATGTTCTCTCTGTCCCCTAAATCTATTACTGCGACTTGCAGATGATTCTAAGAAAACAGGGGGGGCGGGGAAAGAGAGGTCAACAAGGCCTTCACGGATTCCTTTCCAATCTGCAAGACTGACCAGATTAGGGACTCCAAGAGCCATCCCCATACTGCTGTGCAGAGTGCTGTAGGTTTCCATATTCACTGAAAACCTTGCAAGACTGCAAAACTTGACAGCTCTAGGTAGAAAAGTAGCGTCACATAGTATGATTTATAGCTGCACATTTAGAAGTCTTGGAGACCGCACTTGATCTCATGACTCTAGAATAGATATATCATATGATATCTTATTCAAGAAACCATTTTACCTTTGCTGGAATATGAATCCATATTGCAGGGTTAAGGAGAACATGATCACACAGCTGTTTCAGCAAGGGCACCCCATTGTGCAAGTTGCTCAGGTACTTCGAAAAGGCAAGGCATAGTTCTAGCACAGCTCGTGTAACATGGTCTTTGGAAGACTGTAAAAGAGAATTCCCTTGAGCAAGAACCTTGCAACAGTCAATAAAGATTATTCTTTCAAAAGAAATACATAATATACATGATACATAATGATATGAACATTGATACGATTTTGTTTTACCTTTTCTAGGCTATATCCTATCACAAGGAAGCCCTTACAGGAAAGCATCTGCTCTTGCATAGCAATGGAGTTCTTTAACAACTCCATGATGAAAGCCAGCAAAGTAGAACTGAAAAATATATTAGAAAATAAAGTGTTTTAAATGGTTATAGCAGTGAGATAGAAAGTATTTTCACATTAACAGTACCAACATACCCAGAAATACATTTAATCTGTTATCAGAATGCTTCCATCAGATTTTAAAGACCAAAAGCAAGATTGAATTTGGAAAGTGCTCTTTTCCTGCTTTATATTAATACATTTCTAACTTGAAGTTCTGGATTTTGAGATAACTAGATAATAGAAAAAAATATTCTGAAAAATTATTCTTGCAGAAAGACAACAGTAAGTGTCTACTTTTCTCTGCTTCATATTTCACTTTCAAACTTCAAGATGAGTGCCATATGCCTATCCACTTGCTACCACTTTGCTTTCAGATAAACAGATGCTGGAAATATTTCTCTGGACAGTTTTACCATCAGCTCAAGATAATTCAACACTGTCCTTCTGCCAAAAAGCACGTTAGCATCCCTCCCAATGCGTCCTAGTACTAGCACCTGTGAATCAAGGCCATAACCAGCTGAAACTCCCTCTGCTGCTGGGCTAAGATGCAACTGAATCAAAATCCTGACTCTTCACACAGATGCACAAGTTTGAGCCAGGGCCAGGCACAGCCCAGGCACGTACAAATGTGCTGAAGAAATATGGTGACCATCCGTCTTAGCAACAGCGTGATATAGATCATCTTAAAGCAGTCACAAAACTACAACTGCAAAACAGGACAGCAGACAACGAGAGGATTCTAACAGGGATCCCCTTGCTATTAACACTACTCTATCAGGGATCCCTACTATCAACACTACTGGTATTAACACAATTGGAGCTGCACCAATTTCTATGCCTGGATACTCAGAGGTTGGAGTTTGCTGAAAAAGATTTCAAATCAGAAAAAAAAAAGATTTATAATCTCACAAAGTTTGATAGCAATGTGGAGTAGCAGATGGAGAAAACAAAACACTTAAGCACATGATAGCTTTATATCAACATTGGTTTTATTTTAATGTCAGAATGTTAACACATTTCAATAATGCTAAAAAAGACCAGAAGAAAAATAATATTGTGTATTTCTCCTTCTGTGCTGATTGTTTTGAAGCTCCATCCCCCAGAAGTCCAAAGATAAAAAAACAAAATGCCTCACAACTCATATAACTGAAAAATTAATCTTTCCTGTAGTTTCTCTAGAAGTAATCCTTTTTCCACCCATCAGCTTAAATCATTCACAATTCTGTTGCACCAGGTATTTACAAAATAGAAAAGAAGTGCACTTGGATTTTGTGTGAACTGACAAAAAAGTTGAGATCCTTGAGCAACAAGGCATGCTTTTTGTTGTTGAACATAATTCACTGTTGTACAAGACAATTTAAGTTACTATGCACTAGATAGTAATTTAATTTAGTATTTAGTATCCACTACATACTAAATTACAATTTAAAAAGGCAAGAGAATTTCCTTTATATAGGAAGGAAATAAAGAAAAAATACATCCACTCACCAAACAGTTGTGTCAATATGGTCCGACGAATATTGCCTGTAGTCTAACTGTGCAAACAGAGGGAAAAGCACCTGCACTCCTCCAATGGAGTGCATAGCACTTTGGATAGAATGTGTTAAGACTGCCTTGACATCCTGAAAAAGAAAAATTAAAAGGAGATTAAAATCTTTTTCAAAAACTGTTAAAATAGTTTGTTAGGAGTACTTTAAAATTTCTCCAGAATATAATTAAATTTTTAACCAATAAAACAATACTGAAAACAGTACAATCTAGCTGCTACAGCCACACGAAAAGCCCAGGCTGTATGATCTGTGTACAAACTATTGATGAAAGTTCACAGTTTGGATCCTCAGACAAACATACAGGAGATGGCTTGTCAACCCTAAAACAGAGAATTTATTGGACACATGAAAATCTCATAACAAATTTAAAGATTAAGGTCTTTGAAGGATAAGGAAGAAAAAGTTATAATATAAATAGAGCAAGGGACTGAAGATGGGTAGCATCTGTAGAGGAATTAAAGTATGTCAGAAATGAGGAAGAGGTATGTTCTTGAAAAGCTAGAACAATAAAACCTTTGCAATGCTCACTTTTAAGTTGGAACCTTGATAAAAAGTTTTTTAGGATTCTTACACATCCACTTTCATTCAGGAATAGACAGTAGGTCTGCACACCAGATCCCTCTGACTATGCATATGACATTACAAAAAGAACAAAACTATGAACTATGTAATGCAAAAGAGAAGAGAGAAGCTGGCTACACTGGACACCTGACTACAGCCAAGAGGGATGTCTACTTCAGATAGAGGTGACAGAAAAATCATGGTCAAACAGTACAGACAGGCTTCATAATTTCAAGAGCTATTAGTGACTGCCTACCACAGTCATTAACTTTGGAAACTGAAGTAGAAAACTGCACAGTCTCAGTTAAGATTTGCTGGAGTGAAAGACAGAGGTTATGAAGAACTATCAGCAACTATCTTGCCCATATCCCCATAAAACTTAACGGTCATTTTTTTTTTTTTTTTTTTTTTAATGGAAACCATTTGTATCCTTCAAATCTATCAAAACGTTGAAGTACCTGCAGCATGAGGGCATGTGGTGAATGAACAAAAATAGAAGCATTATCCTTAGGAGATGATTCTAGACAGAGCTGTGCATCTGTAGCCCTTGGGTTGTACATAAAAGCAATAGCACTGGATAGCTTGCCATCATACAGCAACAGTTTGTGATGTTCAGCAAGGAAAAGATCACTTTCTGCCTTGAATTTGAATGTTCCCTGGATTGGGGACCAGGGTTGAGGAAGGAAAAGAGAGAACAGTAATTACATACATTGAGAATTCTGTTTAGAACAAAGTTAATATCAAGAGAATTTCTAAAATATTTATTTTCCCACTCTAGAATAATCATTCAAAAAAAAGAAAAAAAAGTTCATAACATGCACTCAGAACCATTTTTACAGAATTATCATGGCGCAACTATTTTTTGGTCCCCTATGAGAGACATTGCAAAAATAGCAGAGTGTGGAAAATAAACACATTAGCTGAGCTAATAACTAATAATGAAGAGCTAATAACTGAGGAGCAGGCAGAAAAGCAGAATAATCTTTTTGGTGTATGTTTTTATAGCTGCTAGGGAATAACAGTCTACAATTACTGCCCCATCGGATATGCCAAAACAAGTAATAAATTACTGTAATAAAAATAATCCTCAGTATTTGCCTCCTATCTTAAAAAACAGTGAATAGCAATGTCAGCTATCAAGCTGCTTTTCTAAAGCAAATGTATTAATTTCATCTAAAATCTTCAGTCTCCATGAAAAAGTGAATCTAGCTCCAGATAAGTGTTCTCTCTCACAACAGCCAACACAAGATTTTAAAAATGAACAAAAACCCAAGCTTAATTTTGTTTAGAAATTAATTGCATACTTGTAGTTTATAAGGAAACTCATTGCTTTATAGGAAAAATACGGAACAGTTTAATTTAGAAAAAAAAATACATAAAAGTTTTAAAAGTATCTAAAGGTGTCAAAATGTTCCTGGAATGTGCCATAAAAAGACAACGGAATTAAACTTCAGAAACCTTTCAGTCAATTCCAAGATACCTTATATCCCAGACCAAGCTGATAAATGGCAAAGATCTGAGCAGCATTGAGCGCCTCACTGAAAAGGTAAACAGATGTCATCTGCCCACAGAACACACGATTGGCATCTGCTGTTTCTGAAGACCCCAGGAAACACTTGTCAAATGTCTGAAAAGGAAACAAAATCCAGCAACCGGCTTTATTCTAAACTACCCAAGCACAATCTCTGTTTATCAAACAGGTATTTTTACATAGACAAGCTTTTGATGGCTTAACAGAAACATATTTCATATTTCTGAGATATATAAAAGCATACCTACTTCTCTACTAAAAAATTACTTTTATTTCAAATTAAACAAGTGGGGGGTTACATATTTTCAATAATGCTTTTAACAAAAGTCTTAAATAGAAAGAAAGGCATTAAATGGAAGAAGAAAACTATATAATCCATCAAAATATTCTACTATACGTACTATACAGTACAGAGATCACTTACATCACTGGTGTTGACAAACCACGTTATTTCTCCATAAGATGCCAGTTCTCCATTTACATAACATCGAAGTTCACTATTCTTCCAGCGATTATATACATGCGCTATAGTAACCATATACCACTGAATGATTAAAAAAAAAGTGAGATACTACAGGCAAAAATAACTCTATTTGCATTAAGTTAGGATAGTAATGTATATTTTAAATAGAAAAGATAAAGCCATAGATGAGTTAGCTTATACAGTTATATCAAAAGCATGAAGTGTCATTATGCTGACAAAAAATAAGCTTAAAAAAGAAGCTTAAAAAATATTTATGACATAAAATTCAAACCGTTTGCACAGTAATCATGAGCCATATACTAAAATTAGTGGCAAAATAATTACTGTGTAAATATATTTTAACTTGATTACATTTAAACTGCTGGCCTACTGCTTTGGATGTTGTCATTCCAAAGCTCATCAAGGATGGCTCCAAACTTTCACAGATTTTCCAAGTTTGTGCATGTCAAACTGTCATAAACAGTATCAATATTTACAGCAAAGGATTACTGATAAGAAATTCCTGAGGAGGTCAGGAAGAGGCCTGTTCTCCCACAAAATGTTTACGTGAACTATTTCAGAAGCACCAGCAGAATTTCTGCTTCAAGAAAGAAACACTTTCAATGTAGCATATAACTGCTTAACAGGAAAGCAAATCTTGAATAATAATATTTATGTCAACTCATTTTAATTTCTATATTTAGAAAAATCAATAAAGCATTAATTGCAAGGAGAATATCTTCTGGACAACCTGATTGAATAGAAAGTGTTTTCCTTTTAAGGATGTATCTGTTCTCCTCCTAAATGCAAGAAAAGGAAACTCCCATTGCTTGCTCTGGCTTAGCTAGAAAAATTAAATACGGCTTAGTAGACAGCTTTCTAAAGTACACTGCATTTCTCCATATGGAAAATCAAAAATCATTTATTGAAGGAGATTCTTAAAATTCCTCAGGAAAAGGAGAAAAGCAGGTTCAGAGAAAAAGCAGGTTTAAGAGGAAAAAAAGAGAATAAAGGCCAGTCTCCTCACAACTTTCATGCTAAGAGCTGTCAAAGACTTCACAAAGGTTTCTCAAATTCTTAAAGCTTCTAGTAAACTCCATTTTCTAGCTTTTTTAAAAATATTTTTACATAAAACTTGAAATGTAGTTTTTAGAAAATTTTGCTCATTCCAGTGTAAATATGTACATGTTTACTTAATCACCAATGGCAACAACACTCCCTCTTGACCATAGTAGAAAAAATTACTAAAAATATACCTTGTAGCTACACAGCCATGCACATTTCTGTGATTCATGAAACTGATCTGAAAAACTCTAACTCACCTTTTGTGGCTTGAAATCAAATTTTACACAATGCTGGAAACCTTTTCCCTTTGATTTTATGGATGTTATAACCAAGCAACCCCCAACAAAGTGTGCAGAATAACCAAGTCCTTTGCTCGTTCGAAAACTAAAAAAAAAAAGTAAACAAAATGAAGTACAGATGGAAGCAGAAGTCATTGAACAACAAAAATCAAATATCAGAAACACAGTTTTACATAATACTCACCAATATAAGTAGGGCTTATCCTTATCCACATTGATATTATTTACAGGATCCATTCTTAGCCAAGTGTGAAAAGTGAATCCATTCTGGTAGGGCCACTTGGCTATAGGAGGTAAGGCAATACCCTAAAGAAGGCACAGTTACTCTTGTAGAAAGATCACAACAGTTTAACCAGTAAGGGTACAAGTGTAAACAGCTTAAGACATTGTAACACAAAGGAGCACCATTTTACATGCTTTAAAAAAAAAGTTCTATGTCGCGTTTACTTAAAAAAAAAAGTCAAAATATTTCAAGACTGATCTTTATATGATAATAAAAATTATGGTAATACCAAGCTACACTTGAAAAAAATGAATATTTTGATGGAAAGGTTACTATGTAAGACACCTCCTCAAAATGCAAATTCAAGTTGATTAGGTTTTGTGGTACCCTAACAGAAGAATCACATTTACGCACTTGTTTTCATATAGTCCTGGCATCCAGGACAACAACTGATTATGAAAACAACATGGCCACAAAAAGGGAAGTGTATATATAGCACCTGAAGCATTCTTTTCTCTCTTGAAATTCATGCCTGTGTCAGCTTGCAACTAGAACATAACAGATTTCTTACCTTGCTTAAAGGAAAGGTAATACAATGTTTGCCTGGTCAACATTTTATTAATGGTAGTTTAAGCTCTTAAGTTATAAACCATGTAAGGCTGGGTTCAAAACATTTCAAACAGCTCTTTTCATTGCCTTTTTTAAAATTGTTATTAACCTTGCTCTTAGCTTTCCACTGCTTTTCTGCACATACTTGAAACACACACTTCAACTAAGACTGCCATAGCCACTGATCAAAGATGCTGTCCAGGTGATCAATGCCAACGAACATAAACATCAAAGTACTTGAGTGTCGCCAGACTCCTTATTATGCTCCCACGCTCAGCTCAGCTATGTCTGCCCAAACAAAATGCTATAAATTTTTCTCTAAACCAGCTAACTAATGAGTATATATGTCTTTGAGATCAACTTTTGGGAACTGGTAGCACTACCATCTGATTTAACTCACAATGGATCTTGGAGTAATTATATCAAATACTTGGCTATAGCCAGAAAGAATAAAAATGTCTATTGCGAAGTTCTGTTGTATGCAACAAATATGTATCTGCAGAAGCATTTTTTTTTATTTTTTGAGGTTCAATTTTCATTTCAATATGATACTTTATGTCAGGAAATTGGGGAAGTTTAATCTCAAGTCACCAAGGCAGATAGGTAATAGGTTACATGAAAAAGCTGGAAAGTCCTCTGATAAATCTCATTCTGAATTATGTATGGATGTTCTGAAAAATATTACTTCATTCTCTGATGTTAGGAGCAAAAAAGAGTTGGTACACTTAATTGTCATGCAAGACAGCTGTGCAGTTCTCTACCTCTGTGACAATCCGGAGAAGCCAAACAAAAAACAGCAGTGAAAACTGCCAATGGTATTAGTACAAAAAGAAATTTTTTTTTTTAAAAAAAAGAGAGGACTTAAACAATTTACATACTGCAGCACTTTTTCCTGGAAAATTGAAGAAGGCATCAGGCCCATACTTCTGAGGCATGTGCTTTAATACAGACAACAGCTTCCCCGCATGTGGTGGCTGACAAAAAAAAAAAAAAAATACACATGTAAATAAATATAACACACCCATAAGAAATGCCTATACATACCAAAAATTAATTTTGACACATCCTAAGGCCTTGCACTCTAAGACAGTAACTCTAGACTTTCAATAAACTTGAACAAAAAGTAAGGGATACCTTCATAAAACATGCAGTAGATGCAGTAGTCAGTGTGAATGCTTAACACTTCCTCACCCTCATCCTACTTTTACATATTTTGTTTTCTTTTTCTTTTAACTTATTTTTTTTACCTACAACCTTACACCTCTGATCTGTTCCTGAATGTGTCCTACTTTCTTCTTGCAAGCAGTCCTTCACTTGAACACTAAGTATTGCATGATCTGTAACAAGTATTTCAAACGTACCTAAATTACAGTCAAATAAACAATGCTTCCTGAATTTGAACTTAAAAAAAAAAAAAAAAGCCACAGAGAACTGCTTAGATGTCTTTAGCAGGACAGAAACTCAACTAGGTAATTTGTGCTGGGGCTAGATGTTTTATATCTTTACAGCACCGTTGAGGTTAAGATTTATGGAGTTGTGCAACTCCTTAGCAATGCAACCATGACTTTTTCCTCCTCCTTTCCCTTATATTTGGCTTTTAATAAAGCAAGGAAATTAAATGCAAATAGTAAAGAGCCAGGAAATGAAAAAGCTAATGTTAGGAAGACAACTTTAACTCAGCTATGGTTAAATATACTCTATATGCTTGATTATTAAATTTAAATCTTATATAGAGGATTTTTATGTGAGCAAGTTAAGATCTCACAAATTACTTGTTTCAAGAGTTTTCTTTATTTTTTTTTCTATATTATTGTGCAAGCACACCAACTTTTATAGTGAATAGATTTTTTCCAGGTGGGAAAACCCATTTTGCTGCCTGTTCTCCATACCAGGTGGGGTATTTAGAGGTAACAGCAGCTGAATTAAAATTCAAAATAGGTAAGACAACTCTTTAAATCGTTAAAAATTCTAGCAAAACAGCAGTTTCCTGGTTAAAGGAAGTGTATCTGGTAGCATCTACTGCATACAAAATTTTATTTTAGGGGATAAGATTATCAGTGGTAAAAGGAAAGGCCCTTCTCCCATTTTAATTCACATACAAATAGAAGAAAACATAGGATGCGACTTCTCACCTAAAGTTTGAGTCAAACTACAAGATACCCTTTATTTTGATTTCTGCAACAAATTCTCACTACCACAAGAACATTTTTTTCAACCTTTAGGTAAACATCAACAGTGCGAAAACAGAATCATTGATTTGCATATGTAGATCATATTTATTTCGCTTTGCAAAGTTTTGAAAAAACAATCTTAATTCTTTTTCTTCAGTTTCTCATAACTGGAATGACAAAACGCAAGTATGCATAAAAGCACAAGCTTAAAGTTGCCATATTACTCCCAGCTGTTCAAAAAAGACCAATTCAGTCAATACATTCAGTCAATATTCAGGCAAACTCAATTTAATCACTATGCTATGTATTTCAACTGGTCGTAAGTTAAAAGGTGATATAACACTAACATGCATCCTTTATATCTTGATATATTTAAAAATTGCTTACTACACAAGTTATTAAACAGCTTTTTATCTTAGGAAGAATAGGAAAAATAGGAAAAACAATAAAGTGTTTTTTTTGTTGTTTTGTTGTTTTTTTTTTACCCATGTCCCCTTTTCTCCTTGAAGTTTGCTGAAGAATAATTTTAGCTCTCGAACTGTCAAGTTATAGCTTGCTAATACACCCAGCATATCCACTAGGAGATCTGGAAAGGGGGAAAAAAACAAAACCAAGCATTTATTAATCTGTAATTCTCATGAGATTTTATGTAAAAGGAATACAACTTGACTCATATACAGACTGAAGCTGTACCTGCAATCATGCTGTCAGCTTTCTCAATCCTCTTGAGCACTTGCTCGACCAGGCCCACTTCTGCGCATGCTTGCAGATTGCGTATGCTCTTCTTCAGGATGGCTGTAAACATGCTCCACACCTCAGCCTGGCAGGTGGTGTCACACTTATCCAGCAGGTCTACCATGCACGTAATTCCCTCTCCTTCTTGGATGATAAAGTTCATTTCCAAGTCAAAACGGCCCCCAACAAGCTTTCAAACAAAAACAAAACAAACAAACAAACAAAAAAAAGTCAGACAAATATTGGGACGATTATATCTAAATATCTTTCCACGCTAAGAGTTATCCATTCCATAAATACGCTATCAAAGGCATATGCTAAACTATATAGTGAGGCCAATATCAAGTCCTCTTTTCAAATTCTGCTGGGTAACTGACACAGGTGCTCCTAAGGTGTCACCTATTATGGGACAATTGCTGCAGAAACACCTTTCAGGTTTTTCAAGATACTGATATCCTGAATTGTATGTTCCTGCCTGCACAGCTGAAAAGTGAACAAATCCGGAGACTTTTCCAAGATACGGGAGACAGCAATATGCTAAGAGACCTTAAACAGCCTACAATGCTCCCTGAAGCCTTCTTCTACATCTGTTTAACTTCTAACTCCAGCAGAAGGCAATTCTAGCCAAAAGATGCCAAGATAGATAAACTTTGTTCTTTACAAACACTTACATTCTTGAGATACTGAAATCATTCAAATAGTAACTATGAGTTATGTCAGCAGCCACAGGTATGAAAAGGAAGTCAAGCCTTGCTTCCTTTTGCGAAACAGTGTTGCTTGAAGCCCTTGCCTATGCTCTGGCTAACGAACTTAAATTTCAGGTCTATCACATAAAGGCTTTGTTTCAACTTAGACTGAGTATCAAATCACATGGGCATGTGCTAAGGGTGGCAACAGGGCATAGGAGTCTGAAAGAACTCACTTCATTCTTGCTTGTATACTCAATAAAATTAAATTTCTGGCTGAAGGAAGTATGAACTGTACTAATCTACTCTTATACTCCCATCCCACTATTTAAACTTTCCTTGAATGTGAAGAACTTGCATTGCTAGTGATCTGCTAACCATGATATCTATTCAATTCAAAAAAAAATTCCAACACCCTCTCCATAAGAAATCAATTTCGATGTTGAAACAGTTTGTTCTATTGTCAAGATTCTTCCTTATTTATATGAACGCCAAGATATTTTCTTAAAATACAGGAAGAATCTTGAGTTATATTTGGACTGAACATGGGCAATAGGAGTCAAATCCCTCTTTTAGAGTGGTTTTATAGACAGAACAACAAGGCTTTTTATCAGCTACACAGAGAGTGAGAACTGAAACAGCTGCATTCAGTCCTGTTCAATACAAGGCCAAGTGCAAGGTCCTGCACCTGGGGAGGAATAACCCCAGACACCAGTACAGGCTGGGGGCTGACCTTGTGGAGAGCAGCTCTGCGGGGAAAGACCTGGGTGTCATGGTGGATGATAAGTTGACCATGAGGCAGCAGTGTGCCCTCGTGGCCAAGAAGGCCAATGGGATCCTGGGCTGCATTAAGAAGAGCATCTCTAGCAGGTCGAGGGAGGTGATCCTGCCCCTCTACTCAGCCCTGGTGAGGCCGCATCTGGAGTATTGTGTCCAGTTCTCGGCGCCACAGTGCAAGGGGGAGTGGGAGCTGCTGGAGAGAGTCCAGCACAGGGCTACAAGGATGATCAGGGGCCTGGAACATCTGCCCTATGAGGAGAGACTGAGGGAGCTGGGCCTGTTCAGCCTGGAGAAGAGAAGGCTGAGAGGGGATCTAATCAGTGTATATAAATACCTCAAGGGAGGGAGTGCAGAGGACGGGGATGGTCTCTTTTCAGTGGTGGCCACTGATAGGACTAGAGGAAATGGCCGGAAACTGAAACATCAAAAATTCCATAGGAACTTAAGGAAAAATTTCTTAACAGTGAGGGTGACAGAGCACTGGAACAGGCTGCCCAGAGAGGTTGTGGAGTCTCCTTCTCTGGAGATCTTCAAAACCCGTTTGGACGCAGTCCTGTGCCACGTGCTCTAGGTGTCCCTGCGTATGCAGGAGGGTTGGACTAGATGATCTCTAGAGGTCCCTTCCAACCCTAAGCATTCTATGATTCTATGATCCTTAAAAAATGTGTCGTGTTTGCCAAGATACTTATTACAGAACAGTGTCCAAACAGAAACACAAGATAGACTCAAATTCCGAACTCGTCATCAAAAGTCTATCAGGTTCTTGTCACTTGGTCTAAGACAAGATATGATTTCTGTCCTACATTATCCTTCTACACAGGGTTTGACCATTTAGTAGTGTTACTTGCTGAAGGCATATCATGACAAAACTGCTCCAAAATATGTATACTCCCTTGCTACCATATTAGCTCCAACAGTTTCTCTCAGCTAGTCAGGATGGGAAGATAAACCTACCCAACAGGACAAAATATATACCCTTTATTAACTCCTAAAATTACCATACATTTTCCTCAGGTGTCTAAATCTTGTCACTTTGAAAAAGCAATCTTTGGTCCTCTGGACATAAATCAGTAATGCCAAGCATGACAAGAAGCAAGGAAAGTTACAGGTTTTATGATAGAACAGACAATGCCTCTAAGCAACACTTCCTAAATAGTAATTTGCACTTTTCTAATTTCTCCGCTCTTGGTCATGGAAAATAATTATGCAATTTACTGTCAGATGCTTCCTTAATATCTAGGGAAAGTACAGTTCAAACTGAATGAGGAGAATTGATTATACTCTCAGTTTCTCTATATCAACTCACCCTATCATTATCAAATTTATGTCATTCTCATTCTCCAAACCCAAGTTTTTCCCTTCTACAAGACGGACTTGAGGCCTACCTCAAAAAAGCACTGGAAGGCAGTATTCAAGGGAAATCAAGAACACTGCGTAGAACAGATCAAAACAGAAGCATCACAAAACACCCCTGAAGAAAAAACAAGTACACATTCTCCTAGTGAAGAGATAATGATACACTAAATATGTTGATATTAGTAAAACAAAGTATATCCTCTATACAAAAGCAAAGTACCCTGCAAAAAGCCAATCTCTCCGTCGCTGAAACAGCAATACTGCATTCTGTGTGCAAACAAAACAACTGAAGGTTAAGCTGCAGCCACAAGGCACCTGCTAATTTCTTAACAACAAATTCAAATTCTTCTGCATTTAACTAGTCAACCATCAATTATTGCACCGAAATCATATATGGCAGCATTTAGTCACAACCAGAGGTGACCTTACCTTCACCCTATAGTCTCCCCCACCAATCTCATTTTTGGCTAGATCCACTATTATCAGTAACCACCCATCCAGGAAGCTGTCAAATTAGGCTTCCAGGCTACTCTGCAAACATAAGCATTTCACCAAATACATTCTAGAAATAAGAACAATTATTTTTACCATAGCATACTAACACCTCCTTTAGGGGATATCTCCTGAGACTGAGAGGGGGATGGAGAAAGCTATATACTGAATGCACTGTACATTTGATGTACTATATGTATGCATACCCATTAGACACACATAAACACCCACGCACACCACCACAGTATGTCATATTAACCCTTTCTAATGGTGATTTGAAACTGATCAACCTTCAAAACACAAATTTGTTTCCAATGACAGGGATCATAATCCAGGTCTATGCATTGGCTAGTTATTATCTGAGGCGCAGTAATGGCTGTGCACAGCAAAATGTAATCTTCCCAAATGTCACAGTAAGTTATGAATATCTGAGCAGCTTAATGCACCTTACTAGCCATGAAGTGTGAGAATGTAATCTTATTACCTTTTTTATGGTTGTATTTTTTTGAATAATGTAGCCTTTGAACTGATGTATAGTCTTTCCTTGTACTTTAGCATGATTTGGTCTCCTGTGTCGTACGGTACATTTTTCAAAATTCTCCAATTCAACGTATTTTAAGTCATGTGTTGAGCTGCATAAACAATCTTTATCACAACCTACAGGGTGACATAACGTTTTCTTTCTTTGGAGTGTAGAATTAAGTGTAAGCTTATAGGAATGATTTTAAAGTGCTGTATTCAAAGTATTCAAATACATCTTCACAAATTTTACATTTTGCCAGTTATATTTACTTTAAAAAAAACATGAACCAAATCAATAGCTCCAGCTTTTCAGTAAGACAATTCTACATTTAGCTGATTGAAACAGGGAGTTTGTACTTTATATTTCCATTCCATTCGTATTCGCTCAAATAGTTTTTTTCCCCATTTACTTCAGAAAACTGTAAGTAGTCAGCATTATAGCACTAACTACCACAGAAAAGCAATACAACACTCCTAAACAGAAAGAATAAAAGTCAATTTAGAAATAATCAAATCTCTTCATTATGAAGTTCCCATGAAAACTAAAATAGGAAAGGTGATCCAAGACATAAAAGATATGGCACACCCTTCAGTTGAGCAATTTCCAAAGTACAATAAGCAGAAAATTGCTCAGAATAAACATTGTCAAACTCCACTTTGGTGAAAGATCATGATATAGGTTATAAATTTGATTCATAGTCACATCTGTTAATGGTCAACAAAATATTTCAAAGGCTTGTATGAAATGGTGGTAATAAGTATTTCAATGTACCGTAACAATAAAATAAAATAAGTCCAAGATGAGCATTTCTGAGGAAAACTCAAGCTGTTGATTTTTGGGAAAAACTAGAGAACCAGATACCCAGTTTTACCTAATACATCCCAAAAATGTGACTTCTTAGATCTTCATCATCCTTCTAGTTACTTTACATTATGACACATGTATTTCCTTTGTTCTCAATAACCAGGATGAAAAAGATTAACACTGCAAATTGTCCTCTTTCTCTCCCTTCTCCAAGATTCTAATTTTGAAGTCTAAAATTTGACAAATGAATATACAAAACATCTGCCTAGCCAACAAAGAAAAGACAGTCAACAGTCAGATAGCAGGCCAGGTCCCTCTCCAAGGAATCTTAGGTGTATTTTTAAGCAGGAGCTGCAAAGCTGCATGCACAAGGCTAATTACTGCTTCAAGTCTTCCAGAGCAAAGTACTTAAACACATTAAACACCAAGAAAGATATGCTGAAACTAAATGAGTTGATGGTTCAACACTTAATGGTTTTAGATAACCCCCATTATTTACTTCTATCCAAAGATAGAAGCTATACTAGTATAGCTATACAAAATAGCTAT